AAAGAGGGTAACGTGAAGTTGTGCAGGAAACTTTCTTTTTAGGGAAATAATGAGAGATTGAGGCCCTGGAGCCCTTTAAAGTTTCGTATTTCTCCATAAGGATAACATGGGAGATAATTTTTATTTACCGAAACATATGTTTCTTACTTGAAAATAGTCAAAGTCTACTACATAACAATTGCTGTGTATTATGACTCTTAATATACACCTACTACATTTCAATCAAGGATTGTGTACCTTAAAGTTTACCCATAATGGATCTTACTACTTTATTTTGATGCTGGGAATAGTAAAATTTAGTGGAGAATAAGTTACTATGATTTAGAAAACTTAACTATAATAATTTATATATTTAATTCACAAATCTTTGACATTATTGATTCATTTGAAACTAAACAGCTGATCGACAAATCAAACAAATCATCTACTTCATGGGAATAATGTTATTACACAAACATAGTTTTGTTTAACCAATATCTTGATCCTTTTTTACTTGTGGGTGTATTTTGAGTCTGCAGTTATGAAAGCACCAAGTCAAGTAACTTTTATCTAATTTTCTTTATAAACTAACAGTATTAATGAATTACTACATGAACTTGGCAAGTCAGGTAATTAATTGTCAGTATACCAAGGGGGACACTATTTTAGTGTTTATTTTTAAAAGTGTGTTTTCTTCAAGCAGCATTTTTATGACCCTCAAAATATGCTACATATAGGCCTATTGGTTTGACATGATAAAATGTTTTGTTAAATGTGTTTTAAAAATCTTTAAAAAATAACTACCCTATAACCTTGCTCGCTGCCTATAACATACTTGAACTTGAACACTTATTAATTTACTAAATATAATACACATACAGCTAGAAAATGGCTGGACTGCTTCCCCTCTAAGGCTTCATTATTACTGTTTAATTTTCGTCGTCGAGTCAATATATAATACGATGAATTTGTTTTCTAAATTCATATGTTATTTTGCGGGGCATTGAGCCGCACAGGTTCACTAGTTCCCAGACAGCACACTTTATCCCAGGGACATCCCATAGTAGTCCCATATGTCCTGAGAATGTCTCGGGATATGTGCGCTATCCTCAGGATATCCCGCAAAATCCCGGGACGAGTACGAAATCCACAGGATATCCTACAATATTCCGTAATGTCCCGGGATTTGTAAGTTAACCTCAGAATATCCTGTAAAGTCCCGGGATATGTACGAATGCCATAGGATATCGCAGAATGTCCCATGACATCCCGGGACATGTAAAAAATCCACTGGATATCCTGTAATGTCCCGGTAACAAACTGAAGAAAAAAATACTACCACTGATGAAATGTACAGTATATCTAAATTTAAATGTTCAACAAGGCCAATATATAATAATTTGTTTTTTTCACTAGTGCTTTCAGAAACTTGGTTTCCATCTTCAGGCTGTGTTTACACTAGTACAGAAAGTAAATATTTACTTAATAAATTAATTTTAAACAAAGTTAAAACAGATGATTTAAAGGATATTGGAAAAATAAAAAATTATATTAGAAAAATTAATCTTTTGAATTTTGGATATGTTACAGTGTTGTTCTTGATGTAATTATTTTCAGTAATTCCGAATTTATAATTGGGCCGTCTTCATTATTTAACAAATAATTTTGGTCTGTTTTTTTTTCTAAAAATAAGATTCCCACGCATTAAGATGTTGAGGTTTTATAATTTATTTTAAAAGCTTAAGGTTTCCCAGATTGAAAATATGTCTTGTTAATACTATGGCTAGCAAGGGTTGACTTTACTTTACTGACATATTACTACCACTGAGTTCAGGAAAACTAGAGTTCTATCATAGTTGTGTGAAATGTGAATTTAATTCTAACTTTAAATTAATAAAACAACAAAAAACTAATTTTAATCATATAACAATCAATTATTACAGTGCTAATCTAATGGTGATTAAATAATCTATATTCAAATACCAGTATCCTCTCCAACTACCAGAAAAACAATTCAACTACTTGAGGCCTAAACAGATTAACAGAATCATATATAGCCTATACTGTAGTATCAAAAATATTTTAAGTATTGCGACCATTGCAACTGTCGGCTACTCTTTAACCACTTGAAAACACCCATAATCAACAAGCGCAGATAGCTCAGGAGGTAAGGTAAGAGGCTCACAAGGCGAAGGTACCAGGTTCGAAACCCATCTGGGCCAAAAACTTTTTTCTCGTTTTTTTCTTCAAAATTTGTGTTTATTAACTATTTAATCAATTTACTAAACTTATAATTAAGCTTTTCATACTAAATCTATATTATTTTGTGTTTTTTATGTTCAGGCCCAGACCACACTTTATCGCAGGGACATCCCATAGTAGTCCCATATGTCCTGAGAATGTCCTGAGGACTACCCTGGGATGACCTCGGATGTCCCACGGATATGCGTGTGAGCTTATCCGTAGGACATCCCCGGGCGGGGACATTACGCATTCCTGTGGATATCCTGTGATATCCCAAGTTGACCATAGGACCACTATGGGATATCTTGCATATCCTGTCGCAATATCCGTGGGATGTCCTGAGGAGAAAGTGTGCTGTCTGGGTTAATATTAAGACTCTGACTATAAAAATGTTCAAATGTTCAAATAAAATGTTAAAGAAAATCTTTAACGTTAAAAAAAAAAACTTTAATGAGATTTACTTACTGTATACTGTAATCCTTAGTAGTCGGGGAAAATATTGAGATATGTTACAGTACTGGATCTTGTGTATTTAGTTTTAGATGTTTACTCATTTTTAACAAATTTGAAATAATAGTAATTGAACTGAACATTTTATATGGAATTTATTGCTTTTGTAATTTGATACTATAACCACAGAGAACAAAAATGCTGTGACATTTCCTTTATAATAGAGAAACAAAGCTACAGTATAAGTGGCTTTTTTATTAAGAATACAGTAAAACTAGCTAATTTGACTAAACTATATTTTCCCAAACGAAACTGATTCCATCCATAGTATGCCTATATTGAAATTAAGAACAAGTTTACATATTGCTTTAATTAAAAAAAAATACAATATAATTTTGTTTTTCTGTTTCATCATTTCACATCAATAAATGGAGTGCACGAGTCTCTGTCCATAACAAAAGGAAAATATTAGTGCTGAAATTGTATCTAGAAGAAAACTACGAGAAGCAAGAGCAGGGAGGTGTTGGACAAATGGAGAAAATTGTGAGCAAAGGCTAGAAAACTCAAAGAATGTGTCAAGGCAAATCAAATAACAAAATCTCTAAAAGTTTACTAAGAACCATGATACCGTGATTTTGCAATAAACTTTCAAATGTTTTATTGTTCAGTTACTTACAGTATCCTTTAGGTTTTAAGTTTCATGATGATTGTTGTTACATGAGTTTTTACCTTAGTTTTATTTTTTTATTTTCTCTCCCTATACATAGTAATGGAGAAAGTATCGTTTTCGTTAAAAATTTCGAGTTTGATTTTTGAATGGATATATCAATTTTGAGTCCCCCTGAACCCAAAAAAAGTGGGTTTCGAACTTGAAAACCACTGTGTGTCTGCGTGTGTACAGAGCTACAGACCACACCTGTAGTCCGATTTTGATGAAATTTGGGATGTAGGTACAAATTCATGGTATCTCCAGGCGTTTTTTCATTTCTTTTATTTAAAAATAAAATATAAAATATTTACTCTCACCGTTTATGATAAAAGGTTGTTGACAAGCTTATGGGAGAAAGTATGTGTCAGAATGCTGATACCATTTATTTCTAATTGTTGTACATACTGCTCGTTATATAAATCATATAAACCCCGTATATACTTTGTTCTGTTTACGTTATTTTTCAAATTAAGAATGTCATACGTATTTAAAGATTAAAAATGTAGGCTATTATGTAAACTATCTTTTCTTATCAATTCGGTTTTAGGTACGTTAGGAATGATTCGGTTTAATGACTAGTTCAAAGTCGTTTATGGCTATCAGAAAGAGGACATGTCCCACAACCGATGCCTGAGGCACCCCGTGAGGAACATTGAGAGCTCGGGACTTAGCTCCGGCTATTGAGACGACCTGCTGTCGGTTCCCCAAATATGTGACAAAGGTGTCGTAAACTACACCGCACAGCCCATATTTATTTAATTTGGCAAGGAGAATGTCATGTGAGACGCAATCGAATGCCTTGCCAAGTCACATAATGTCAAGGCAACAGTGTTGGTGTCCTCAAAGGCTTGTTGAACGCGATGTATGAGCTCAGAGACGGCAGTGACAGTTGATCTGTCATTACGGAAGCCGTGTTGCAGATTGGACAGCAGGTTATTGCGTTCAAGATAAGAGACTAGCTGGAATTTAATGGCAGTTTCAAAGACCTTAGCGGAAAGTTGGTATAATAGATATAGGTCTATAGCTCTGTACACTTGCTGGATCACCTTTTTTGTAAATGGGGACAGTTTTAGACATCCTTAAGATTCTAGGAAATATTCCAGCACTTAGGCAGGATTTTAGGACCTGGCAAAGAGGTATGGCAATAATGTTTATAGTGTGCTTTAGGATGACAGTAGTCAATCCATATATGTCGGGGCTGTGAGAGGTCTTAAAATGGCCTACCATGGTGACAAGGCCCTCTGGTGTAAGAGGTTGCCAGGTTGAAAGTTTGATATCGGGAGACCGTATGTCTTTGACTATTTCATTGCTATCTACAGGAGCGTGGCCTACTATGCCTGCTACAGGTGTGCTATTCCCGTCATATGCTGACGGCACTCAGAGATCAGATTGCAAACATCATTTTAAAGTTTAGACAATTATAAAAACAATAACAATCAAAAGAGTAATAGTTATAATACTATCCCTCCAATTTGTTTTCATAAATTATTCATCTACTGTTTCCTAGCCTGAATTAGGGGTTTTGCGGGTTTCAGCTGTTGACTTTTGTGCTTTTTTCCTGACTTGACGTTTCGTATTGCTGGTCCGCTGGAATGGAAATGAGGTTAATACGGACTGGTTTAAAGTTGTAGACCCCTACGTTTATTTCTGGTTAACAAATGTCTCTCGAAGGGGTTCTAAACAATTCTGAACAAAATAGCGGGGAAATCAAAGTTGGATTCTGTGAAGATAATATGATAGTTGATAATAATAGTGATAATGATAATGGTTCTTTGGTTCTTTTGGGCTATTCAACTGAAAGTGTTACGGGTGATATGGAACCAGCGAGTTTCTCATGTAAACAAATTGGAGAATCTATTATTATGAGAAGTGTTGAGGAGTGGTTTGGACATAGGACCGATTTAGATTATGATAGCATTAGGACTGATAATTTATGTTTTAATAGTGATGGTATCAGTGAAAGCAATAATGCAGGCCTAGCTGAAAGAACAATTTCACCTCTTGTCTCTAACAGCAATTCAATTATAGAAGATGGTGCCTATATCAACAGTTGGGATGACTTGGTTTTAGATTCGGATAGTGGGGTCTTAATAGCCAAAAATAATCCTTCATTTTTAAGCTCACAGGCAAAATCTGAATGTGATCTTGAATTACCTAAAGCTATTGTATCTGATGTATACCTGAATGTGTCTTCCAGACCGCAAAATGTCCAGCTACCACTTACAAAAATTTGTGAAAAACAATCAACTTCATTTGGCTCTGAACTCAAACTAAAGATCAAACACATATCCTCTGAAAATACAACACACAAAGCTAATGAGAGAACCAAAGTCAAGTGTATCAGTACAAGTTTACCTTTCATTAAGATTCCAAGAAACTGTTTGATGAAAGGCAAAATCCTTGGTAAAGGGGACATTTCTCTGCTTTCTGGTAATAGACCTATTTCATTTTTAAAAAGCCCAACAAATTTTAATTCAGACATTACTAATGCAAGCCAAGCACTGGGGCTTAGTGTAGATATTATACCTGATGTAAATAAAACCGTTGATACTACTCTAACCAGTAAGTTTACTGTGATTGATAAAGGACAACTTTATGGTACAAAACTCACTAAGATACAACAACACCACTACAAATCCAATGTTAACATGGGTGAAACAAACATCAATGTTGCAGTTCCAGTGGAGTCATCCAAGCCTAAGAAAAACAAATCCCTGGCCATTAAGCCTTCGAACTCTCGGAGCATATTAAAAAGCAGTGTCTCCAATAAAAGTGTTGAATTACCTACTGATCTAGCTACAAAAATTTGCGAAACCCCGCCTTCAGAGACTTTGAATACCAAAAATTCGAATCCATTAGCTTTAGTAGCAATATCGACAAATAAGGGTAATGATACAACTGAAATCATTATAAAAACTGAAGATGGTGAGAACGTTTTCAAAGGAAAAACCAGTGACATCATGAAAGCAACTAGTTCAAAAATGAAGGTTAAAGTTAAGTTATCACAAAAGAAGGACAAACAATCCAAGACCTATAACACGGAACATGGTAAGCCATTAGGCCTATAAACTTTGACTAGGCAGACATAACTTAATAACTTAAGATGAAATGCTGTTATCTTAGAGTAAGTTAAACCTACCTATATTGTATTTTGCCTAACTTAGGCCTACACTGCATAAGTTAGGCATATTTTGAGCAAAGCATGAATCATGGAATGAGTTGAGTTCTGAACCATCAAAACGTTTTAGGCTTTTGTCAGGACCGGAAAACAATCTGATGGTTCCAATGGAACCAGCTAAAATAGCCCAAGTTAAGTAAAGCCAGGTTATAATGTAAAGAAAATAATCTTAGTCTTAGATTTGAACTACGGTAGCTTAGTTGCTGCGACGGGAGGTACGGTACCGTGGATGGAAACCTTAATTTACTGCAAACCTTAGCTACGGTACTGACAATGGTCAAATTTTTAACATTTCATTATGTTTGTTGCTGTAATTCATGTAGTTTTACACCTTTAAATTATGTTTTTTGTTATCTGAAGTTATCTGCTGAATAGACTTCTTCCGTCCTATTGATTTTTCAAATAAATTCCATCAGTCTCTTAGTAAAAAACTTAAGATAAGTCATGCCTTATGTAGCCTACAAGTTCAGTACCGGTAGCCTAGATGTATGTCATACAGAATGGTTCCTAACTAACGTAAATTGTTATTTCCATTAGCCTATAACTCCGTATTGTGGCGTTATACAACTATCCAAGTCATTTAATGTACAAAGCCACATAAAACAGTTTTTTAAGGGCATTTGTCTTATCTCAAATGGCGTTTGTTACCAGTAGTTTCAGAACTTTGTCTACATTTATAAAATAACTTATGGTGTGTAATTTACTTTCAAAGATGTTTGTTATTTTAGTTTACTTGCAAATTACATAATTAGGCATCCATATGTGTAATTATTTATGCCTGGAACAAACTGCCACTAAATCATAAACAACTTAAAATTACAATGAACCGTCAGAAGAAAAGATTTGTTGCATAGTTAGCTGTTATGTTAACCTAACAATAATGTTTCAAACTCTGAAATGAAATAATGACTAGGCTAAGTTACATGTTGAACCCTGTGTGAAATTAAACCTGATTCATACCATTTGATTTTAAGACCTAGGCCTACTTTGATTTGATCTAATCACTTTAACACTTTAAATTTAATTGCTATAGTGTCTACAATATTTGTTGTTACACATTGACAGATTGATTTACATTGAGTAGGCCTGATTGGGATTTTAATCTGTTCCAGATTCTGCTCAGGTAGAACAATTGATAAGTAAAGTGTGTGGCATGGATCTGAACACTCTAGAGGACTATGATGCAATTTCCCAAGGCCCTTTGAATTGTCCTATTGACGATTGCAATTACTCCACCATGAAAGGTCCAGTGATGAAAGTGCACATTCTCCAACATTATAAAATTCGCCCATTCAAGGTAAGTTGGCTTATCTTTGATGAAGCCAATTAGTTTCTAAAATAGGCCTGCCTTTAAAAAAATACTGGTACAAACTTTTTCCAGACCAAATCAAATAAAATCAAATCAAAATAGTATTTATTCCGCCAAAATATTTATAAATTACATCATGTTAGTTCCATACAGAAATGTTTACAATATTGTTTGGATGATGAGAATGTTGGATGTTGGAGAATGACCACTTCCAGACTTATGAAGACGGAAATGCCAGCCTCCTTGTAATTTTACCATACAAAATTTTAGGCAGTGTACAAAAAAGTTGACATAAAATTCACAAAATGATTCGTCATAAGTGACTTGTTTTTTTTTCAGTGCAACTATCCAGGCTGCACTTGGGCATTTTACACAAATTTTCGTTTGAAAAGGCATCAAGGGATCCACTCAAGAGGGCCTAAGAAGAAAGAATTCCAAGTAAGTTCATACAACGACCTGATCCTATCAGAGTTTTATCAAAGATACATGTAGCTTTTGATTTAGGTAAAATCTCTTGTTGACTTCCTCGAACCAAACTTCAGTACGCAGAGACATCTAGTTTAAAAAATAATACAAATTTAGGATTAAGGAGGAATCTTTTAACACAAGGTTGTAGCATACATGACATGCTATCTTATCCCAAGCAAATTATGGTAATAAATCTTAACCAAGGAGAAGCTTAAAAATAAAGATTAAAGTGTAATAGGCTACAATATAGGGGAAAATGTAGGCCTACCAGTCAGTAGTTAGAATCATTAGTCTGTGCACTATGGCGTAGGAAGAGAGGGGGGTGGATAATACTGGTTGTATCCAGTAGGAAGGGGGTCTGAGCTACACGCACAGACTAATGGTTTTATCAGTGAGTATGAATCTTTCAGACCCTCTATTGTTATTTAGAAATTAAGGACATCTAATATATAAAATTCTCGTGTCACAGTGTTTGTCTGCAAACTCCTCCGGAACGACTTCACCGATTGTTATGAAATTTGGTGTGTAAATTCTGTAGGTATGCGAATCGGACGTAAACTATTTCCCGTTTCGAAATTCTTAAAAGGGCTTCGCCCCAGTGGCTCTGGAGTTTCCCATGTTAACCTTATGAGAAATGGAATTAATGAATCTTAACAGCTGTTTCAATTAAACAAGTTGGTTCTGTTCTATGATGTTCAATAGCATTAAAGTTACAAGGATTACCAACAGGGTGCAGCACTATTATTTCTTTTACATTTATGACAACAGCTAATTTGCAACCAAAAGGTGAGTGAGCGTAGCGAACGAACTTCAACCTGGAGGCGAGTGAGCGTAGCGAACGAGCTAACCTGGAGGCGAGTTAGCGTAGCGAACGAGCTCCAACCTAAAGGCAAGTGAGCGCAGTGAACGAGCTCCAACCCAAAGGTGAGTGAGCGTAGCGAACGAACTTCAACCAGGACGTGATTGAGCGATGCGAACGAGATCATCTTGAAAATTAAACGTAACGGTACTTTCTTTCCATCGGTCTGTCTTAGGGGAAACCTATAACTTAGGCGATACGAAGTTCGCCGGGTCAGCTAGTATTTTTATAAAATTGTTAACTTTCATACATGAGTTTTCCCCCCACCATCCTACGATGCTAACCTCTTGCTTGGAACCCTCATGTTGCGGCATATCACTATGATGAATCCATAGTTAGTTGGCGGGATTTGAACGCCGGACTCTGAAGTCTTGTGATACCAGGTTGCTCTTTTTTCATCTAAGATAAAACTAATTGTTCATTTCTTTGGATTCAGTGTCCTGTAGGAGGGTGCGGAAGGAGATTTACGACTGCCTACAACGTTAATACACACATGAAGTTACACGAGCGACCGATCATGGTTACCTGCCAAATAAACGGATGTGACCGAGCGTTTCAAACGAGACGCGGCTACGAAAAACATCTGAAGGACCATGGCATCCAGTACGCTCCTTATGTGTAAGTCCCTAACTGTATAGCTTTAAATTTGTAGAAATAATTTGAAACTTTGATAAACTATTGAAAATGTTTTATTCTCTAAAAGTACCGGTATGCGTCTAAATAGCCCCATAGATAAGTGAGGGTCAGAGGAAACATTCGATTGTGAACTTAAGTGGTGTCTAGCACTAGCCACTGGTGTCTAGCACTAGCCGCTGGTGTCTAGCACTAGTCACTTCTTCTAACTCTCCTTGCACTCCTTTCCCCCTTGCCATCGCATACTACACTCACGCTGGACGGAGACCCTGTACCCTAAAGGAACTTCTGCCCTGTTTGCTGCTAGGGCTCTTCCTTGCTTGACTCAATTATACCGACCCTAGCGCGTACGGACACGTACGCACAACTTACTAGAGTTTAAAGCGCATCCCATAAGCATGTTTCGTCTGTCCTACCTTACTTGTCTGCGGCAGCACAGACCTTTCGCTATTTTTAGAACAAATCCAGTGTACTTATTTACCCTCATATTTACCCATCTGGGTTTTCCCAAGAGATTATGGTAATATTTCTAGTATTAGTATTTTTTGGCATACATTATGTTTTAACTGAGGTCTGGGTGCTTCCCTATTCAAACAAAGTTATTGGACATACTTAGTAATCCAACAAGGCCCCTACTAACTTACAAAATAATTACTAGACCCTGTTGGTACTGCGGGTTCTCATTAGTCTGTAATAAGTCCGCAACACCTTAAATTGTTCATACTTTGAATTTTTATTTCTTTGCAGAGTATAAACCTATCAAATCTTTGTGGATAAGACAGTAATCGAACATGTCCTTCCTGCACCAAAATCCTAGACGCCTCTACTAGGCTAGCAACACACCATATTCTTGGCAAATGTCTCTAGGCACTGAATCAATGAGTATTTGAATCTGTCTACCGATTAACCTTAATCAGGTTAACCACGTTGGAGCTCAACCGGGACACGTTCCGGCATAAATAAGTAAAATTAATTGCAAACTGAGACAGTCCTAATTCCTAACTGCAGAGTCTTTTTAATCTTTTTCATTTTTTCTGAAGGAAGTGAAGTAGAATATTAACAAACCATCACTCGTCTCTAGCCGGGCCCACTCAAGGTCATGGACTCCTCCCCTCTTATCCCTCCCAATATGTTTGCAATAAACATAAAAGCAGACTTTGATTAAAAACAGAAATCTGGTACAGCTTATTTTCAAAGAAAGTAATTTTCACTTTTGTGCCTTTTACTCTGTAAATATTTTATTTGATCTAAAAGACATCTTTGTGTGTTGTTCATTGTGATTCCTGTCAAATACCCAATTCAGGTAGGGGTTTTAATGCAAATCTCATTAAAATCTGAAATGATAGAGTCAAATTTGACGTGAAATGAATCACCATGTTTTTTGTTGCAGGTGTTCTATTGAGGGTTGCGGCAAAAAGTATTTCACCATTAACTCCCTCAACTCCCACCTCCGCATCCACCAGCATCCCGAGGAGGAACTGAAATGCTCCTATTGTGAGAAACGATTCGAGCAGCCTTGTCGACTAAAGGCACACATGAACACACACTTGGGCTTTAAACCGTACGTCTGCGACTTTGAGGTGAGCTAAGCCACACTTATTTAATTGTTTTCACGTCGCTGCATATTTTAAGTTTTTTGGGAACGATTTTTGTCCAAACCCTAGTGTTGTTGCTAGCGTTAAATTTTGTCAGTATGAATTATTGATAAGATTCATCTGGGTTGGATTCAATCTCACTTGGAATCAAGCAAGTGACCTTTATATTTGACAAAATATAATGATTGGCAGGCTGGGTAGCTTAGTGGTCAATCAAAAGGTCGCCAGTTCAATCCAAAGAAAAGTCAGTAGCTCTTGTTGAAGGCTTGAAACCGGATCATTGGACTTTAAATAAATAATTCGCTAATGAAACAGCTGATCTTAGTGACAAAGCTATACGGATCATTGCACTATTTTCTCATCCTTCACTCATATTTGGGCTAAAATACACACCTAGGTGGCGTCCCCATCTCAATATATTGGTAATAAACAACTCGGCTATCCAAACAATGTGGTTTAATTTTGTACAGTTCAATAGGTTAGAATTGAGAGAAAAATATTTATTGAGGGTTATTTCTTTGTACAGACCTGATTCAGTTTCTAAATCCTAAATTGCATAACCTAACAATGCATAAAAATAAAATAAAATGATCTGAAGAAGGATATTTAGGAAGGGAAGACTTCCATAATTTTTTTTACATTTACAATGAAAAAAAAAAAATATAATTTTTATAGTACTAGCGCCATTTCTTTCATATTTTTTCATAGTGAACCATAAAATATACGTATAAAGTCAATAAAATTTTCTAGTTCTTGTTCAATGTCGATAAAATGTAACTTATACTTTTTATATTCCCAATACCTTTCCTTTAATTAATTTAATAGTCTACTCTATCAAAATGGACAACTCAAGTGAAAGTGTAATACAAACACTTATCCAATAAACAAAATTGTTTTATTGTCATATGAAATATTTACCAACTCAATGTCGTCTGATTGAAACATTTAGAGATCAATTGTACTAATCATAGTGAAAGGAAGTAAATATTTTACCAAATAACTTGAAGTCAATAACACACATTGCTCTTTTATTGAACGAGAGTTTGTAGATGGTTGTCGGTGTAGCTTGTGGGTTATCTTGAAAAACCTTCCATACCAATTTGTAAGTATGTTTTGGTAGATGGCTTTAGGCCAGGGTATTTAAGGATTACTGGATTTAGTAATAGATAGGTCTAGGTTCAACAGCAGACGAAAATAGATGGAAAATCACAAACACATAACACACCGAATTTTGAGATATACTAGCTCCTTCAGTAGTAGAATCTTTCTATGTTCTTGTAGGCTGCGAGGAATAAAAATACCTACTCAGTCTAATTTAGTCTAGGCCATAGTTTTTGCTCACTACTCACTATTAATTATCAACTAGAATCATACTTCGGATTAGGGCTTCAGTGCATAAGGTCCCGGGTTCAAATCCCGCCAAACACCAATGGATTTTATCTATGTAATAATGCTGCAACCCTTTTGGACTAGTCTGAAGTAATGTCTAAAACATTTGCGGGCTAGAAAATACCCATGAAAATGTTTACAAACCTGCTGCTTTGGAGATTATTATCTGAGATTTAGTTCGGGTGGTTCTCTAAATTTGGCTAACCGCTTGTAGGAAAAGTTCCGATCTTCTTAATCCTGATAAGATGCAAGTTAGGGAAGGGCTTTAATCAAATCAAATCAAATCAAAACATTTGACTGTAATCTAAATTAATCAAATCTAAATTAATGACTGTAGTATTGAAGCAGCTGTTGAAATCTTTGTTGTGGGTGGCAGCATGGTTAACTGTGAGGTTGTCTTTGAATTTATTTTTCACCTCTTCAATTTGTAAGTAAAATGTTTACTGGGTGAATCGCTCTGATTACATCAGTGTCTGAGTCATCAAATTTCTCAGAAGTGTTTTTTTTTCACAATTTGGTTGGCACTTTTACTTGTTTTATTTCAACAGAAAATATTTGAATCAACTATCACGAACTTTCGGCCTTGGTTGTTCCATGCCAAACAAACAAACTGTTAATTTAGAAAAATCTCCAAAAAAGGTTTGCCTTAACTTAACCTGTATCTTTCTCTTTTAATTTTCGAGTTATCAACTAAAAATTAGCATTTTCATTTTTCGCTTGTCTTATGGTGGTTCAAATTGTTTTTAAAATAAACCCATTGAGAGGTAAGCTTGAAATTTTGCACTCATACTGTCAGTTAGTCCCAATAATGCATATGTTAATAATAAAAAAAATTAAAACTTTGTATGAAAAACCCTTTTATGGGAATTAAAAAAAGATATTTTGTGTAACAAGGTCATGCTGCGTATCAAATTTAATGGAATTTTAAAAGAAACAAAATGGTGCAAGTTTGAGTTCTTTAGTTGGTATGGTTTTTGAGTTACAGTATTTTTAAACAATCGTAAATAATAGTCACTTTTTTATTTTTAAACTTTCAAAACTCAAAAACCAAAAGTCAGAAAAATGTAAAATTTGAGATTTGAACTAGTGTTGGTGGGTGAATATTTCACAACAATTTCAGCCAAATCTGAGACAGGTTAGGATTCAATTCATATGGTGAAATTGGATGATTTGGCATGGAATTACATGTTATCAAAAATCAACAAATTTCTTGTACTTTTAAGTTTTCCTTGTATTTTGGGGGTTCATTGTCTCTTTGGAACCAGAACACCTTTGATTTGAGTTTTTAAACTTGTAGTTTGGGCTAGAGAGGAATTTTTCGATGGTCATTGATTCTTTTCTAACACTCCATATCTATAAGTTCTACAGGTAAGGCGTTTGGTTATAAATCTAGGGCAATTTTTCCCTAGGAGCAAAAGTTTTAAGGTGCTAATACAAGTAGTTAAATAAATACCTTCTCCTCTCTAAGTATTGTAAAGTATTTCAGTGCCTTCTAATCCATCTAAAATGACATGTGTCACATTGCAGAATTGCCCATGGGCTTTCACAACCTCCAGCAAGTTACGAAGACACCAACGAAAGCACACACAGACTAGAAAACACATTTGTAAAGTTTGTAACAAGTCATTTCTACGTTCTGAACACTTGAAGGATCATAGCCTGAAGCATTTTGTTAAAAGATCGTTCCTGTGTTCTATCCGTGGTAAGTCTGCTACTGTTTTTTTATTAAGATTTTCACTTCCAATTAAAAATTCGTTAAAATAGTAATTATCTGTGTAAGGAAAAACAATGTCTTTGTTTGAGCATACGATCACTAGTTGAATCGGCGCTTTCTAGTGGCGAGTGTGGTATATGTTTACAGTCCAACCTTAATGCGTTGATATAGCGTTACAGTTTGTAAATTGAACTAAGGTCAATGACTTTGAAATATCATGATTATGATTGTGTAATATTGTATTTTGTTGATAACAAATTTCAATTGCAGCATTAATAGAAATTTAGTTGACATTTTACAGTATTTTTGTGAGTTTGTTAAATGTTTTCTACACAATGTTGGATTAACCATGGTTTTTCACCGTGGTCTCCCTCCCCGTTTGACCCCGGATAATCGAGGCTCTACTTTACAATGTCAATACTGTACTGTTAAGTATTGTAGCCTATGTGTTTTAATGAGGTAGAATTCTGACCTATATTGACCGATGCTGTTTCTGAACCTTGACTTAGCGAAAATCCTGCAAACCTATCCTCAATATAACAAACCTCGTTTTGACGAAATCCTTGATACAATGAATATTCAACTCGCAGCAACTTAACGAAGCAGTTGCCATCACTAAGCTGCTTAATTAAACTGCTTAAAAAGCAGTTTACCTACCTTAGTAGGATATCACACTTGTGGTCGACGACTAAATCATTTTATTCGGCAATATTACATTATTTCCTGTAATACTTTCCAACTATCTTGGTAGTTGACCTGTTGTGTTTGTACAGATTGTGGGATGATGTTTTCCAACAAGTCGACAATGTACGCCCACCTCAAGAAACACCGAGTACAAGACGCCAAGATAAGCGAGACAACGGTGACGACGTTCCCATGCCCCATAGACACTTGCAAAATGGTGTTTAACACAATAGAAAGTCAACGCATACACATGCAGAACTGCCATGTACTGACAGGTAAACTTGCTAGAGTGTGCGTAGGCTTATGAGTTATTGACCACGGCATATACTGTGACATTGCATAGTCATATTTTAGTTATATTATTCTATAACTTATTACATCCTTGTGGAAGAGAGTTTTAAGGATTGATTTGAACTTAAAATAGCATAATCAGCCAGTCACAGGGTTTTGCTATAGCCTAAAAGTTTTGTTGTAACTGTAATCGTTGATCTGACCAAGAAAAAAACTATACACTATACCTTTTACGCAGGTGGGATTGTTTTTCACATTACTTCAGGCTAGGCCTAGGGGTTGCAACATTATCACTTATATAAAATCCATTGGTGATTTGGCGGGATTTGAACCCAGGACCTCAAGGACCGAAGTCCAGCGCTCTGCTAGACCAACTCGTCCCCAAATATGTGCGCCGTTCCAATTTATGATCTGCTAACCACCATAGCTTTACGTTAATTAATCACATACAAGCATATTATGTTGTAACTTCTTTCCAGGTTTAATCAACAATGAAAACTCGCAGGACACTATTCAGTTGCTCTCAGACGACAACTTGATTGCTTTAGACGGCCTCCCGGGAAATAGTGCATCCTCAGGTACCATTGGTTGAAAATTTTATATTTGTTTAAGCCATAAGCTACATTCCTTTTAGAAGTTCATCGTGTTGAGCTACTTCCTACTTAGTCGTTCTACCTCTTGCCCAGCACGCTCCTCCTCGTCGTTTCACCAAAAACTAGGTCATTGGGAACAACTTAAGTTGCTTCAGTTCGGTTAAGTATTTTTGATCAATTAGTCAAGTAGATCAAGAAGATTAAGTTGTTATGATCAATCCATCCCTAAATTTTGTAGGATTCTTGTCTCTTTAGTTTGTAAGATCTTTTGATAGGGGTGTGCGAATAGTGATTTTTGGGTTCAAATTGAATGACTTTTCACCTTGAGCACAGAATTTATAGTTGAATTTCTGTCAACCGAAACACTCTAAACCAAAATACCAATCAAACAATGGCCTACAAATATTAGTACACAGAAATATGTCTTAGACAAAGGAAACGAAAGTAAAGTGACTTTTCAAACAGAACGGACGATGAGGGTGGCACATAGTTCAGTAGGTCGTTGGCTGTTACACCATGCCAATTACAAACTACCCCTCTACAATGCGATTTATAAACTTTGTATGCGATCTGAGATTTACATCTATCTGCTGGATTGAAACATTGATGGCTGGGAAATATGCAAGCTGACGTATTACTAATGAAAATAAATCTAAAACACTAACTGTAGCAACTTAAAGATGCCTAGTTGATATGTGTATATATATTTTAAACCTTACTCTTCATTTAGCGTGTTATATAACCTTAACATGTATTTTTGTAACGCTATGGTTTTATTTCATCACTTAAAATGCAGAAAAAAACTCCCCCCCCCTATTTATTTTAGAAAGTGGTTCTACTGCAGTCACATTTCCTCATGTTCTACATCGCCACGTTCTTGAAAACCAAATTCTCATGTATTGCTGTATAATACTGTATGTCTATAATGTAAGTGCTTTTAGAGTTGACTTGATCAAATATTAAATGGTTCATAAATCATAACCATCCGTACTGATGATATGATAAACAACTAGGGTAGTTCAGGAAATACTAAGGATCCTGAAGGTCAATATGGTTAAGTGATGTCTTGTGTTTCAGGTTCGGGAATGGTCAGTTTCAACTCACAGGAAGGACTGTTGGTCGGAATGTCAGATTTGGTGCAATGCATTCCTGTCATGGAGCAAGGTGGGCATTTCCCCCCTCACTGTTTTAGCCGAGAATTGGGCCACATTACTTTAGGCTAGATCTAGTGGGGGTCGCTCTTATCACCTTAAAATCCATTGGTAGTTGACGGGATTTGAACCTGGGACCACTGTGCCGCACTACAACTAGGCCAGCTCGCTTACCCAGCCAAGCTCCAACGGCATTAATTTTTGCAAGACTAACATAGCCAAACTTTCCACTTACTATTTTGCGAGTGTAATGAGACAAATCTAATAAAAATTGTACTATTCACATGTGCCTGAGGTAATCGAGCTAAATTACATTAGAAGACCAAAACATTTACCAGTAAAGGGTTAAAGGTAGTTAAAAATTATCATTTTAACGTATGTTACACAGGTGACTTTTCCGAGTCTAACTCGTCCAACAATATCACCACCCAAGTCGTGTTCACTGATGACATGGAGGATGGTGACAATCAAGTTATGGAGGAATCGAACCCTTTAAACATCACTGAAACTGAGGTAAGAGAAAGCTAAAGTGTTTAATCCCTTCACTAAGGCAGCGATTTAATTTAACGTAATTTTCATACGTTAGGCCGAATAGGAACTGGATAAGTTTTAGTGTTAAAAGTTTTTTTTGACATTTTCATAAAATCAGCCATTTTAGAGCAATTTCAATTATAAAAATTAAAGTGGCCACCATTTTCGAATTTATAGATTGGAACAAAAATTTTTTTTAGGTCTTGTACTTTATCATACATACCAAGTTTTATAAAGAACAGCTGAGAAAATTTTAAGATAAAAATGACTGGCCTGATGTACAAAATGTTGAATATCCTGTTAACAAAGAGGTAAAAAAACATTCTTTTTTATTTGACCCATAATAAATAACTTCTTGGTCAGCATTTTACGTGTTGTTAAATTTATGGAAAGTAAATAAAATAAACGTTTTATAACACTTAAAACATATATTTATGCGTATACTGTTACTCACAAGACGGTAGGCCTAAATATACAAAAAAGAGTGAATGATTTGCCTATTGGGTCTTATGATGATTGGAATGTCCAATCAAAATCAATCACCATCTTTTTTGTATATTTACCGTCTTGTGAGTAACAGTATAAGCGTAAATAGATGTTTTAGTGTGTTATGAGACGTTTCTTTTATTTTCTTTCCATTTGACCCATAGAACCACTTCCCAGAGTTAGCTGTTTACTTATCACGGTACTTATATTAGGACACTCTGTAAATTATACATTTTTTATAGGTTTTAGAAAATAGTGTACTAATAACTCCAAAAGAGACTAGGCACTTGATAAAATTGATTGGTTACACATTATTAAGTATAAATTATATATTATATAAAAGGTTAGTTTTTCACACAAATCCAGCCAGAGACTCAGCCCCGTGGTGGCCAGATATGAGAGGTATTACATTGTTAACCAAATGATGAAGGACAAGTGGGTTCATTTACGGAACATCAAATAGCTACTGATGTCTATAACCTCTCCGCTTCCTAAGAAATTCTGAGAATCATTTTATGGATCTCCTTGAGTTGATTATACTATGTTGATTTACAAGACCCACTACACAAGCTAAAATGATTTTATTTGGATAGCCTACTCAAGTAATCCACATAGTTATCATTGAACATTACCGTATCCAATACAGAAATTCAATTTTTTCTGACTGCAGAATATTGGCTCGGCACGCACAGATATTCCTTACAAGGCGGGGCCCAGGGACAAGCAGATGTCTTCATTGGCGGGGCAGCACAGCAGAGGCCTACACTCCGCCTCGGATGTGGTGTTGTCTTCAGGTCTGCTGGAGCGGGGTCTACTCTTACAGGTATAAATTTATAAGCTTGATTTAATTTATAAATTGTATTTTGGAAATTCACTGTTATCAAGTTTGCAGCACAAAAAAAAAAAAAAAAAAAAACAGTTTGGACACCTTTGCTAGGATTGTGGGTAAAGAGTTTACAACATTGGTTTATGGAATTTTTTTATTTGGTATTAGGCTTATCTGAATGGAAAAAAATCAACCTGGCACATGATACACAATACTTTACTAAGGAGAGTAGTATTGTCTGAAAATGCTGGAATTGATAGAGAAATATTCTGTTGTGTGTAAAGTTTTGTGTTTCTTATGCCAGAGTCGACTACCTCCCATTCATTTAAGCTTCCTATCCTAAAAAACTTCCTATGTCTCCTGCGATCGCAAAGAAATCGTAAACATGTCTTGTAGTTGTGGTGCTCTCGGGAGCTTCCTTTGCGGTCTCGGTGAAATTGCAAAGGTTTCATGGGATCACGGGGAAATTGTGTACGTTTCCTACAATCGTGACGAATGGTGAACATTTTGTGTAGTATGGCAAAATTGAGACATTGTGAATAACTGCGTTCATGGAGATATCATTATCATCTCAAGAGTCCGCATTAACATTGTAAAAATACCCCACAGTCACCGTCATCATAGTCTCTTGCGATCAGAGGAAAATCTGGAACATCGCCTGTGACTCTGGCAAAATCTGGAATTTCTGTTTGCGTAACCTTGCCAGGCTCTTTTTAGGATTGCAAGATAAAAAGCTTGACTTTCTGCTTTCGTATTTCCCAGTCAATCATTCTGACTTTGAGGCTAGTCTTGGTGTGAAAATCACCCTCACACTGTGTTGTGATCTTGAATCTCGAGCCAAGGAATCACAAGACAGTGTAAGGTATTTTAACCTTTTTACATTGAAAAATCAAAATGAAACTGCTTGCACGCATATTTTTAATACAGTAGACTCCTCTTATCCGGACTCCTCGGGACTGAGGCCAGTCCGGATAACGGGGTTTCCGGCTTAACAGACGTCCCCAAAAACTTGTTTTAAACGGACAGTTTATTTATTTATTTATTGAGTTACATGTCATTACATCATAATAACAGGACATATTGTCAATGGTTAAATAAAGACTTAAAACTAATAGATAAAACTAATACATCTGTATTTACATAAAACAACTGAATCTTCCCAAAATACAACATTGTTACATGACAACAAAATTGAGCCAGCAGGAGTGTGAAGGTTTACTTATACCTAATTCCAGCAGTCCTTAAAATAATCTGCCAATGAAAAAAAAAGATTTAGTCTTGAGCCATTCTTTTAAATAAAGTCTAAACTTATAGGGATTTTCTAGAGTAATTAAACTTGTTGGTAAGTTATTTAAGATTACTGATTTACTGATTTACTATGATATTCGACTTAAATTTAGAAGAGCGTTGTATTTAGACACGTGATCACTGGTCTCAAATCTTTCCCACGAGAACAGTCGTTTCAGTACCGCGCACTTCTTGCTGATATAGTCCAGTTAAACCAATGTGCTGATTACAATTGTCCGATTAAAGAGATGTAATTTCCGCTGAATGTAGTCCGGTTAAACCGATGTCAGGTTAAAAGGTGTCTGGATAAGAGGGAGTCTACTGTAGTATGAGATGAATGAAACTAAATGTGAACTGCAGGACGAGTTATCTGGAGGTGACTTGTACTCGAGTCAGGAGGAGAGTGGGAGTCTGTTGAGCAACGTGGGGGAACTGCAAGTACTCCTCTTGGACTCTTCTACGAGAGAGCAAACTTCGGAGTTTGAACAATCCACGATCAACCTACGAGATTTGGAGTAACCAACACTGCCACGCTAGTCGATAATCGTAAGTCGTTACTGACCCTATAAACTTCAACTTGCACATGTTTCAAACTGTGATCTATGTAGTGTTTGTGAAAATTGAGTGACATTGAGATTAAACTCATGATTTTATTGTAACTCGTAACTCATAGGTACAGTTGACTCTCTTCCATTCGGACCTCTGACGTTCGTATTGGACCCATTTAAAAACTACCAAACTTTCAAACTACCAGATATTTACACCAAAACTACTAAATACGTTGTAAATATGTGTGAAAAAATGGTAAACACTAATACTCTACAAAAGGGGTGTAGCAAAAATATCTGTACCAAAAAGTTGGACAAACATGTGGTGACTTGTTTTACAAGAGTATGAACAAAACCTGTAAGTGTTATGCACGGAGGCTGTAGAAAGTCTGAAATTGAGATGAGTCATCTGTACCAATTGATTACTATTTAGAAGCTTTAAAACAACACAAGAATGGACGTTTTAAGCAACTTGTTCTTATAAACTATTAGTTACCATTCATCTTGTAATATTACTTTCTGAATTGTGTAAGATATCAGAAATAATAATTTGTATATTTTTTTAAGAATATTTTTATAGTGATTAAGTTTTTTTTTTTTGCTCGTATCTACGCCAGTGGCATTTTTGTAATGTTTGGTTAAATCATGAAATATGAGCCCTTATGTTTTTACGATATCTTTAAAAATATATATTTTTTTTATTAAAATATAACGATTAGCATTTTATTTTTGCAAACTTAGTTAATTTACCTTCTTCAAATATTTGGTTACATACTAGGGTAAAATAAGTTGTGAAATCATAATAATTTACAAGTTTTTCAGACCTGTTATGACATTTAATCTGAATGATAAAATTATTGTAAGTAATGAAATTAAATGATTTTCTGAGCCACCTATACTGAATGAATCAAAAGGTTAACGGTTCAATCGTAAGAAGTTGTTTTTAAAAAGTAACTGGACCCATTTCCCCTTGATTATTATTATTACTATTATCAATTATTTAAGATGGGGACGCCACTATGTGTGTATTTTAATCCAAATATGAGTGTAGGATGAGTGGCACGATCTTGTAGTCTTGTTAGTGACTAAGGCCGACATATTCCTTAGACACAGCTGTTAATTAATAGCCCAAACAGATAATGGCAACTAAGGGACCTACAGTTTAATAGTAGAATCCGAACTACATTCTTGCCTTTGTATTAAATTGGTCTAATTATCAGGATAGTACTGCGGATAGTCGTAGTACTCACTAGTGCGGATGTTAATCCACACCAGGGAGTATTGCATCCACAGTGCATCTCCATAACCATTATTGGACTCATAATGGTCCTCCTGGCTAACAGCTGATTTCATTCATTTAGCAAAATACAAAATGGCGGATTAGTTAACAAAGTGATTTTGAAAAAAATTTCAACAAAGTGATTTTGAAAAAAAATTTCATTCATAATTTTCTCTTTGTTTTGCACCATTGACCCATAGAACCATCTCCAGAGTTAAGCTGTTTACTTACAGGACACCCTGTATAAATTAATCTGAAATAGTCACAAAAGATAATAAATAATCTGAAACTGTATACAGTATATAGGTGGATTGTAACAAATATTTAGTTGTTTATTTATTTAGAAAACTAATCAATTGTACTTTGATCAAGAATTGTCACATAAGTTGACGTGAAGTGTTTTGTATTTGTGAATTTAAAAATGATAAATGTGATTGATTAAAATTTTGTTATTATTTTCCACATAAAATCCTTGATTAGACATTTGAGTAGATGGATCTAAAAACATGTTGTATTCTATAGCGATGGATTCTGTTTGAGTGGCGTTCTTGTAAAAATCTTTACTCAAATTTTACAAATACAGTACTTTACTCAATACATATTTTGTACCAAATGGATAATTTGTTTGGAGAACTTTTATTATAAACCCTTCTATTGATAATGTTAATAGGAAACAAAATCACAGTATTATGTAAAAATAACCTTTATTGCTATAACTGAAGTATAAATTAATACTTAATTTAAACATTGTATTTAAGAAATTCTCTTGATTACCTTTATGTTAGAATTAAATTGAATTTTTTCAAAACGTGCACAAAGAAAAACACATACAAAGTGTTGGTTTTTTTGTTTCTTCATAACAAAGAAAAACGGTTACAGACATTTTATTGAATAAGATTATAAGAGAAGCTGATAAAAACTAAATTTATATTATAAGTAAGAAATTAAACAAATATACACTAACAATTGATGTGCAATCTTTAACTTATTTTTAGAAAAAATTATAATTATATAAAAAATAACGTTTTTAGGAGCTAGGTGTCAAGATAAACATTTTTTTAAAGAAAATAATACATAACACTGCACAAAACCTCTAAACATATTGCAAAATAACATTGTGTTTTATTTACAGGTGTAAAAGTATTCTACTTATTGTAGGCCTAATTAAGTGTAGATTTTTACAATTTACAATCAAAACTTTGTAGCTGCCTTTTACTACTAAATTAAAACCTCCTCCATCCTCAATGTGATTTTTTGCCTAAATATTGGCCTTGAATAAAAAAACCAAAGAATTCCAAGCAGACAACAGTTTTCCCATATTTCATTATCAACTACCATCATTAATGGGCACACAAATGTGTATTTGTAGGTCTTTTAAAAACACAGCCTACAGTAAAAACCAATTTCTTTTTGGCATTTGAAACAACATGTTTTTGTGGTTTTACAGATACTTTTTACTTTATTGCTACGTTTGTGATTATGTAAACAATATTAACGGTTTTTAATAGTGTAAGAAATGGCTAATAATCACAGCTTAGCATTTGACAATGAACAGCTTTTGAGCAACTTTCGGATATTGCTAGACTAATTTAGGAACATTCACCACAGCAAAACACGTAAGGACGGATCATACTTTCTGTCTTCTCGATAAAAACTTACACTAGAACAATGATAAAGCGTAAAAACAATAGCCAGTGCTACCATCTAAGATTAAATTGGAACGTATCTTTGAATACTTTAAGGTAATAATACTTGTTTCAGATCAGCTTGATAGCTTATTTTACAAATTTTTTTCAAAACTAGAAATTAACACTAATGGATAAGAATTTGAAGTACCAACTATCATTTATTACATAGTAAATGCTACTACTATAGTAAGATATGATTTGAAGATTTTACAAATATTACTGGAGCTGAATTGAGTATTTTTAAATATGTCTGATTATTAAAAAATGTTCAAACAAGATACTTTACTTTTACAGTAATCAATTAAGTATTTATAATATCGTTTAAGCAACTGGTAAAATACGTAAAAATATACTTTTATGAATCTAACAGAGATGATAAAATTCGTTATTTGTTATTTTGGTATAGTAAAATAAATCTCCCCTTACTGCACAGAGTAAAGAACGATTGAGATCCATTCATGTCATTCCCATGTTTCTGAAATGTATTGGACATAATAATATTACAGTTTAAAATTTAAGTGTACTCTAAACTGTAATATTACTTAGTAAATCGCCTGTGCAAAAAGCGCTGTTTAAGCCAGATTTGTGAATATTGTAAAAGTTGTAAAAGAAAAAAAAAATACAAACCAAGCTTCTAACAAAAACTTATCCTCTAGATACAAACGCTTCATCTTTTAACTTTCAATATACACTCGTAAAGCTTAAGTACAGTAAAAATACAATTTAAATTCAGTTTTCTTAAAAAAGAATACCTTACCTATGTGGCCACTCAAACCTCAGTAGGTTTTTGGCCTAAAAGAATACCATATAAAAATATTTACAGAACTAGTGAGTGTTTTAACGAGTGCTAAAACTAATTCATTACGTGCTGTACGATAGGTGAAGACTTGGTAACAATATAAATATAAAGCTCATCACTGGAATGTGAACATTAAACTAAGTCGTTTATAGGAATTTCGTTTGTAGCTCCCTGCAAATTTCTTGTGCGATCTTCTCGTCTTTCTTCTTCGCGTCTGCGTAAAGCTTGGAAAATTTTGCATCTTAATACGCAGGAAAAAGAGACGAGTACATGAACGATTATCACTAACAATAAACAACATTGTATTACCACTAGAGTAGTCACAGGCTTCCGCCAGTCGAGAATCTTGTAAACGTAAGAACGGCCCTTCCTGCAAAAATAGTCACAGTCAAGAACATTTATTCATAAGTATACATAATTTTACAGTTGCGTTGTATAAATCAAGGCTTAAGCTTTGCCACTGGCACCCCTATGCCAATGTTGGGGGAGCGAGCTGGTCTAGTGGTTAGAGCATGGGATTTCAGTCCCTTTTTCAAATCGTTCAAGTCCCGAATTCAAATCCCGCCAAGTTACCAATGGATTTTATCCAAGTGATAATGCCTCAACCCCTAGGTCTAGCCTGAAGTAATGTGAAAAACAATTCCGGGCTCGTGCCTAGCGTCTTAAGACAAAAAGATACCCTATGCAAGTGGGAACTGATTGGAATAAAAGTGTCTTAAGTCAAGCTAAGAACTCTGCGCTGTTGTAATATTTGATCGGCCTCGACGGGAGCTCGTTGCGACCTATATCCACAGATATCCCATGGACATGAACAAAACACAAAGTCTACTCCTACTGTAATACCTACGTTGCACACATTTTAGTGCTGTTTTAGATCTAGCTGTCAAAGATTTAGATACATCAATGGAAAATTGGCAGTGAAATACAGTATGTGTTAATATGATAGCGTTCCCAGATCTAAGAGCATCTATATACTGTTGTCCTTGAAAATAAGGAGTAACAAGAAAAATACATATTTTTGTCTTACAATTTTTACCATATTAGTCAGTAGGATGACAATCTTAAGATTGATTTGGACTGAGAAACCAACCATAAATTCCAAATTAGTATTTAATATTAAATCCAACAATCTTAAAGAAAAATAACCATCTTACTGATGCAAGATAGTCTTAATTCACACATAACAAGCAACCCTGACGTGAAAATGTAACTTTGTCTTTAATTCAAGCAAACAAACCAAGAACCAGTTGATGTTGGTTTAGAGTACCAATCCACAGAGAAGTAAGATACAGAGGAAACATTCAATGGTAATTGGTAAGGTGTCTAGTACCACTAGGTGTCTGTAATACTCTGTTCCCATTCTGCCTCCCTACTTTGAAACAGCCGACAGCTGAACAGCTAATAGATTAATCTAAAAAAAGTGGAGGGGGAACACAGGGACCTTTACCTCTAACCGCCGAAATTTTGTCAACGGACTTTAGTCGCTAGTTTCTAGGGCAAAGTCCAATTCCGCCACCCCTCTCTCTCATGTACTACAACGCTACAGGTGGAGGAAGACACTGTGTCCTGTGCGATAGGAATTTCCGCACAGTGCTCGCTGCTCAGGCTCTTCCTTGCTTGGCACAAGTATATTTTTGACACCTAGAGCTGAAAGTGCATGGTTGTCGCATTTAAACAATTTTCCTCTATACCTTACTTCTCTGTGACTAAACCTAATAACTTGCCTGTCAGTTCCGCCAGCCAGGAAGTACACGTAGTTGAACGAAACGTAGGACAAAGCGAAGGCAAGCGGCCAGTAAAAGTCGACTAGTCGTATCGGGTGAGCGATAATTATCAGGTCAGTCAACATTAGCACGGAGTTGCCTGCGTGGACAAGAATGTTCAAAGTGTCCAACTTATTCTCGGCTGCAACATCATTATCAATCACTGAAGGTAACAAATTTTTATCATGGTATAGTGAAAAATATTTTGAGGAAATTTTATGGGAAAAGGCTAGTTAGGACATTGGACAAGGACATACAAAGAGAATAGTATGAAGATCCAGAATGGTTAAAATGTCAAGGATCAGATAGACTTAGCACTTGGAACATACCAACTTTGAAAATACCTGGATCGAACACAAATCCCCAGTAGATGGCTGTTATAGCGAAGGCTCCTACAGTAGCTACACTGTGCAGTATCCAGTATATCTTCAAACCGAGACACATCTTCATTGCATCTGTTTCCTCATCTGTGAACATACAAGAATTTGCAACGTGTTCATGTTGACCTAAGTATCTTTAAAACAGTATTTTCTAGGAACTTCCAAGCTTTGCCTCATTCATGATGAATGTAACATGGAAATGGCATAGTAAATAATTAAATTATTAAGTAAATAAAACTTATATATCAATAGATTTACCAAACAACATAAGTCTTTACCCGGCTAGAATATTTCTTGACTGTTCACACGGGCATTGGCAGATATCATACTACATCTAAGAAGATGTCGCTGATGTAGTTCTTGATGTTTTTAAAAGAGCATGTTCACACCAACTAATTCGTGAGCAACAGGAGCGCTGACGCTACGTTAGCTAGTTACGTGTTGCTGAATACACCTGTGAGCACTAGCGCTCTAGGATATCACCCCATCCCATCCTCTCACCGCCGTCAACGTTGTGGTGACCAATATCCATCCACAGCAGAGTCAATGCAAGGATACCATCACCGTGGTATTGAATTGGACACCGTTTCATGATCTAATATGTGCGTGAGGTTTGATCTTGATCTGTGAGCAGTTGGAGTGTGACTCTGGTGGGGTGGAGGAGGTAATAGCAGCAGCAACTCGCCGGCTACGTAGCCAGGGCCTGACGTAGCAAGCAGTGTGAATATGTAATAATGTAATACACCGGAGACGTAGTAAGACATCTTGTGACGCCGGTGTGAACT